AAAAAAAAAAAAAAAAAAACGTGGAAACATAATTATGACTGAATTAGTGAAATTAAATAAGCTACGTGAAATAGTAAAACTGAAATAATGTTTGGGTAATTTTCTCCAATAAATATCACCTTACCTTATCTTAATAATATAATAATAATAATAATAATAATAATAATAATAATAATAATAATAATAATAAAAATCTTCAAAATTGCCTGCATAGTGTTCTATTCCAAAATGCAAAACAAACACTCAAGAAATCTTTTGCCCACTAGAGAAGTTATGAACAGTTATTGAAATATCACTTTTGAGTTATCGTAAAACGAGCCTAGTAATAAGCCTAGTGAGCTATTCCCCGTCACCAATTAGTTTTGGAGTGAAACCTCACTATGGTAAACTTAGGTTCGCCCTCTTATGGTGTGTTTTACCTGCGTGGGACCGCACCTCTTCCCCGATTCTATAAATCTAATAACAATCCTTAGATTCTCTTTTCCTAGTACTTCCCAAATACCTTAAGCTATTATAAGGTACTGTAAAAGGAAAGAAAAGAATGATATATAATCAAGACCATAATCCTTCATTGAGTGGCAGCCTTTATATGTTTACCTCTGCACACCTCCTCAAAAAAATGACCAAAATTCCTTTCTTTGACCATTTCATTACCAGAAAGAATTGTTCTTTTCTCTCTTCCTATCACCCCAAAAGAGCCTCTCATATTTGGTGTCACCTATAAATTGCATGAAAAGTCTAAGAAATTCCCTATAAGAAGAGAACCTCTCATAACTGTTGTTCGATTTCTTCGAAAGCATATATAAAACGAAAATATGGCTTCGAATGTGCCGGCAGCCATGAAGAGATCAGACTCGATAGCTGACAGCATGCCCGAGGCCTTGAGACAGAGCCGTTACCACATGAAAAGGTGCTTTGCAAAGTATCTCGAAAAAGGTAAACGGTTAATGAAGGTTCACGATTTGATGTCCGAAATGGAGCAAGTCATAGACGATAAAGATGAAAGGACTCGGTTATTAGAAGGCTTGCTCGGGTACATTCTGTGCACGACTCAGGTACAAAACTTTATTCGTTTTGTACATTGATTTTTCCTTACGTTGTTTTAAACAAAATTTACATTTTTTTTTTCTTATCCTTTTGCAGGAAGCAGCAATTGTTCCTCCACATGTAGCCTTTGCTGTAAGACCATCTCCTGGATTTTGGGAGTACGTCAAAGTTGGCGCGAATGATCTTTCGGTCGAGGGCCTCACGCCAGCCGAGTACTTGAGATATAAAGAGATGACAATGGATGAAAAATGGTACGTATAAATTTATCGAGTTAGATTGAATTCTAATCAACCAAGAACCTTATTAATCAGCGTAAATTATGAATACTTAATTTGCAGGGCAAATGATGAAAATGCATTGGAAATCGATTTTGGAGCGATGGACTTCTCTCTGCCTCGGCTCACTTTATCTTCCTCGATCGGGAATGGAGTTGGCTACATTACCAAGTTTCTTACTTCAAAGATTAATAATAATAGTCACGCGAGTACGAATTCTCTTATCGACTACTTGCTCACACTAAACCATCAAGGAGAAGTATGATATATCTGATCTTCTCACTTAGGACCAATCTTTACTTAAAGATTATATAATGTAAAGTAGGGTGTAATATATAACATGTTTGTAATTTTTTTATTTTTATTTTTGCAGAAGCTCATGATAAACGAGACGCTCAACACAGTTCCGAAGCTTCAATCTTCGCTAATAGTAGCCGAAGCTGCCCTTTCGATACTCCCTAAGGATACACCTTATCAGAGCTTCGAAATGAGGTATGA